ACTGAGATAAGGAATAAAATAAAATATTAAAATCATGATGTATCTCGCTGCATTGTGCGAGTACGCTTCTAATATATATATATATATATATATATATATCCATCTCTCTCTCTCTCTCTGATACGGTATTTTAATTTGTTTTGTAAAAGCAGTGGTATTCCCCCAAAAGGTTAAACATCTTTATAACCTCAACCCCTTAACTTTTTTAAACAAATTTCTATTACACCATATTTTTTTTTCATTTTTTTATATTACATAAAACTATATTATAATATCGACTGAGATAAAGAATAAAATAAAATATTAAAATCGTGATGTATCTTGTTACAGTAAGTACGATTCTAATTTATACCTAACCAAATAAATTGCAAGCAAGATAACATACAGTCTCTTAACATGTTGGAATATTAAAAATGGTTTAAGAATAAATAAATGAGAATAAATATTAAAGATGTTGAGACGAGACATAGGGGCAGTGCCAAAATACTGATTCCTCAATCATTGTCGTCTATTCCAATTTCCCTTTCCCTTTCTTTTCTTAATTTATTAAATAAATACAATATTTTATTTTTGCAAACTTCAAGAAAAAACCAATTTTATTAGTGACACCAACGATACCAACGATATTTCTGACGAGAACGATGCCGTATTTGACTTGTTTTCTTTTTGGAACATCGTTATTATGAAATACATAACAAAAATTGACATCTACCCAAAATGATACGACATCATTAAGACGGTTTTTTGAGAACGATAACATGAACAAAAATGTTGGGGGATGAATAAAATAAGAATGATAATCGTATTTGCATTCGTCACTAAGCAGGGGTCGTGGGGGAGTGACCGCATAGGGAGGCAAAGCCATGGAACGACAACACCGTGAGGCAGTTCAACAAGTAGAGGCCATGGGAGCGTGGACCAATAAGTAGGAGTGTTCATGAAAACTGAATCAAACATAACTATTTTTTTTGTGTGGTTTGAACGATTTGGTGATGTAGTATGGAAAATAGTCATATTGGGTAGAGGTGTGCAAAAAGTAATTCGATCCAATTATAACCGACCGACCATAATCGATTGTCCAATTGTAATTGGATCAGATCGGATCGGATCCAAAATTTCAACATCCAAATTGGATCGTTCAATTCTTGGATGGCAGTCCAACATCCAATAAAACCAAATCGATCCAATCCAATTATCATTCAACTAATATCCAGTTAGTAACTATATATAATTATTAACATTTCACGATATTTTTTTAGTTGATATTTATGTACATTGTCTTTTTATAACTAAATGAAATAAATGAATAATTGGTTGAAATGATGGATTAATTGGTTGAGTATTGGATCAAAATATTGGACAAATCCAATCCGATCCAATGGATAACCAATAGTAACATCCAATGGATTAAACCAATCCGATTCAACCATCCGTTAAACTCAACTTTGACTTGAGAAAGTTACGATTCAAGTTTTATTCGAAAGCTGAAAATAATTCAAATGTCAAATTTACGTTAAATAAAACAAGATTAATTTAACAACTTAATATTTAACTATAAACTGAGTGCATACTCATGCAGTTTTGAATTGAGATGGTCCAAGAGCAACGTTCTTAAAGTTGGGTTTAACGTATAAATAATTAGAAGTTCATACATGCCATCAACCTTCGCACCGAACACGTTAACCCGGTGATCACTGCTCCTTAAGAGACCGCCCCTTTGCCCCCGCCTCTCATAATAAACTAAATACATATATGAAAGATTTTAAAAACTAATGAAACAATAATCAAATTATGCATTTTAAATACCAGATACCCTTTATATTGCATATCTATCTCACCAATTTCTGTCACACACAAAAATTTCGTATAACGGGCGTTAAAATCAAAATAAGATGAATTTACCAATTGAAGTTTACTATTAAAACCCCAGTACACATTACACAATGAATTAAAAGTATGTGGTTTTGATGACTTTAGCTGTCCCTACTACGTGTTTTTGAAATGTGTAACATGTTTTCTTTGACTATCGGAATTTATCAATTATCATATCTTAGACCATTTTATTACTTGAAATGATGTGTTTTTTTTATTGATTAACCTGGATATCCAATCTGCTATGCGAGCCAAATAATCCCAGGACGACCACCTGCTTTGCAAATAGTTCGTAATCACCGCATTTGAACCTCCGTGGCCACAAGGAGATTTTTAATCATCTTTGGATTTGAACCTGAAATCTACTGGTACTTTTGACCTTTGTAGCCAAGCTCAAACCAATCAAACACCACCCTTGTGGTTGAAATGATGTGTTTTACTTCTACTTTTACCACATTTGATAAAGTTGGTTGTTTGTTGGTAAAACAAGTTTGTTTTGTGGGTCTTCTTGTTCGGTAATTAATTAGCATTGCTTATATATTTTGGGGTTTATTTGGATTGACATTGCTTATATCATAGACTCAAACGATTTGGCTTTCGCTAGTTTCTATAAAAACACGATGCTATAAAAAGTGATATGTTATAACGACCACAATTATCATGATAAAGTAATTAATAAGACCTCTAAAGGACCTATAATTGTTTTGCAATTGCAAAAAGCATTGCAATAAGCTAACAGAATAAACTTTGACAACTTAATAGAGTTTCAACCTATGAAACAATAAGATGACGGTTGTTTTTTAAGATGTGCTGAATTCTTAAGTCTTATTTCACTTCTGATTAATAAAATGTGGTGCGGAAGTCTGAAATCTGAATTAACAAGACTGTTTGTTTTTATAAACTGACAAATGTCTGAAGTTTGAAATCTGAATCAATAGTTTTTTTTTTTTTTTTTTTTGTAAAATCAAGTGCAAACATCTTGCAAAATTTTCTTGATTTTCATAAAATTTCATTGCCGAAATTTATTACAACAATTGTTTAACAGATGAAACACAGTAAGAACCTTTTGGATATCTTTCAAACTTCTGATGCTATTGGGAATGCCGCTGGTGAGTTTGTTTATGGAAAGATCGATACTTTTGATAGATGAGAGATCGTTGATAAAAGTTCTTGTTTCACAATGATTTTCTAAGCTAATCTATATGTACATAAATTATATATATATATATATATATAGAGAGAGAGAGAGAGAGAGAAAGAGAGAGAGAGAGAGAGAGAGAGAGAGAGAGAGAGAAGGTGGGAACGTACATTTCACATAGGTGATGAAATGATGGTGGCGTCCTTAGTGGTGAAAAAAACAATAACCGAAAAGAATCAAAGAAAATGGGAAATAAGGGGAATTAAAATATTAGTTTACCTCTTATTTGTTTAGACCATATTAAGTGATAAGAGATTTTGAAAATAATAAAAAAACAAACACTCTAAATTACAAAATGTCTGAACGAATCATACATAAGTGGTAATTAAGCGCTGAAAAAAAAACAACGCCTAAGTTGTTAAAATGAAGTTGGATAAACCAGGTAAAACTCAAAAAATAGATCGTTTTGTTATTTTTTTTACATGGCATATTTATTAAAAGTCAAATTCAAATGGGAACAATAGTCAAATAAGAGAACACAAGAATGGTCAAATCACATGTGATATGTGTGACTTTGGTCACGATTTAATTCGAAGGCCAAGTCGACCCTGTTTTATAGTCGTATTTTGATTTATTGTAAAATTACATGTGATTTGATCGTTCTTGTGTTATCTTATTTTCACCACGTTATTGTTTGATTCCCCTCCGTTTAGAAAAGCATCATATGAAAATATCTTCAAAACCATGTTTTGTATATTGTCAAGGTTTAAATTAAGAATGACCAAAAGCGAATACAACATGGAATACAAATGATGAAAAAAAAAACTAACCAATTACGCTCGTGAGCAAGATACGTAACTCGTATAATTTGATCTTATAAACAAAATCTTGCCCGCGAGTCCGGAATGTAGATCAATTTTAGCTTTTGGACTGAAACCGCAAAATCGAAACCTGAGGGACTGAATCTAGATGTTAAGAATAATCGAAGTACGTTCTTGGAATTTGCTTAGAATAAACTATTCAACTTCACAATCGATCACATGATCTCCTCTATAAAACCATCTCACTCTGATTTCAGACTGACGAAAGAACAAATATAAAAAAAAAAAAAGGGAAGATAATCGGAAAAAATGGCCGCCAATGGCCACAGTGTTCGGGTGGAGGAATCAACACTAGTACCCTTATTGGATCATTCATCTTCCAACGTCGATTTGGGTGCAAAACTCCCGGACCAAGAACTCGATCTCTCTTTCCGGCAACGGTACCTGATTGAATCCAAAAAGCTATGGCACATAGTCGGCCCCGCCATCTTCAGCCGCATCGCCTCCTACTCCATGTTCGTCATCACTCAAGCTTTCGCCGGCCATCTTGGCGATCTCGAGCTCGCCGCTATCTCCATTGCCACCAGTGTCATCGTCGGCTTCGACTTCGGCCTCTTGGTATTAATTTCTTCTGCGAATTTTGAATTTGTAAATTGTTCTGATTGATTAATTAGTTTATCGTTTTGTGTGGTGTTCATCGATCGATTTTCAGTTGGGAATGGCGAGTGCTTTAGAGACGTTGTGTGGCCAAGCATACGGCGCCAAAAACTATCAAATGTTGGGGGTGTATCTACAACGGTCATGGATTGTACTTTTCATATGCTGTATATTAAGTCTACCATTATATATCTTCGCTTCGCCGGTGCTGAAACTGCTCGGACAACCGGCGGACATAGCGGAGCTCTCCGGCGTGGTGGCGATGAGCTTAATACCGCTCCATTTCAGCCTCTGTTTTCAGTTTCCGATACAACGGTTTCTTCAAAGCCAGCTTAAAACGTACGTGATTGCATGGGTGTCGATGACGGCGCTGGTGGTTCATTCCGCCATCAGTTGGCTGGTCGTCTACAGGTTTCAACTCGGACTGGTTGGTACGGTGGTGACATTGAATATCTCGTGGTGGCTGATCGTTATTGGGTTGTTTTCTTACACCGTTTGCGGTGGTTGCCCGGAGACTTGGAATGGGTTTTCCATGGAAGCGTTTCAAGGATTATGGGGGTTTGTAAAGCTCTCCGCCGCCTCCGGCGTCATGTTGTGGTATTCATCTTCCCTTTCCAAGTTGATCGATTTTAGAATTCCCGGTGGCCGGAGTTGATTTTTCAGGCTTACAAAATACACCTGAATTATAACATGAAATTCTGAAGGCATATTTCTTAAAAGCCCTTTATTTGGTAAAAAAAAAAGGACACCCCTTTATTTGCATTAAACATTAAAAACATCAACAAAACAAAACCTTTCGAATCAAATAAGAGAATAGAAAAACGGTCGAATCAGTTATGATTCTACACTAAAATCACGTATAAAATTGTATGTGATTCATGTTACTTTGGCCACAATTTAAAATAACGTGCCATTTTACATATGATTTGATCATACTCTTATTTGGCTACTGCTCACATTTAATCTCCACAATTTATCGTACATTGGAAGTATCAAAATTCAAAATTAGAAAAAAAAATGACGTTAAATGAGTATCTCAGTTTTGATTTCATTTAATTTATACGGCTGAAAATATAAATGCAGTTTGGAGAATTGGTACTATCGGATATTGATAGTGATGACAGGAAACTTGGAGAACGCAAAAATTGCAGTCGATGCTTTGTCCATTTGGTAATTATCGCTTATCCTCTTCGCACCTTTTCTTTAAAGAACCAGAATTTAGGAAAACGACTTTTACGACTTTTCTTTTTCAAATCAATTTTATTCCTGTTTTGATTCATGAAATAGTAGTTAAAGTAATGGACTCTTTATCAAACATTCAAACGCTTACCGACAAGAGACGTCATATTTATTTACTGTTCTTTTTCCCTCATTTACTGGATAAGACTATGGGTCTTTTCTATGCCTGTTAACAAGTTAGGATTGTCGGTTCTTGTCATGTTCAATCAGTAAGGTTTTACTTAGTAAATGTTTTAATAAACAACATCTAAGTTGTCTACTTTCTCATTCTACTCTCAATTATGAGATGAAGAAAATTTATCTCTCAGTTACTAGAGATAAAAATATCATTTAATTAATTAAACATATAATAATTACATATTATCAAAATTATGTTTATTTTTATTATATATATATATACTATATTATAAAACATTTGACAAAAAAATTTAAAAACCATTTTTTATGCATTAAGTACTGTTTATTGATGCATATTACTTAGAATTTAAAATTACAAGTAAATTGTGCGTAAGTACAACTTATTAAAGCTTCATGTTTGAATTCGTGTAACTAACTGCGGATAAGCATAATCAAATAGAGAATAAACATCTCATTTTAAATATAAAAATCTAAAATATAATTAGGATAATCATTGAGTTCTAACAAAATACTTAATTATTATCTTTATGAAAAATTATATTATTAAAACAAAAATAAAAATTAATGAATTAAAGAAATACACAAGGAAAAAAAAAGAGAAATTTTAAAAAGTTAGTTTGGTACCAATATTGATATTTTTTTCAATTTTTTTATAATATATCTTTATATTTATATTTTATTCAAAAATAAAATCATTATCGTTTTCTCAAAACCACATAAAACCGTATTATAACATCAAAAAAATATATATTAAAATTAAGATGTATCTCACTACATTATGCAAGTACCCTTCTAATATATATATATATATTTATTTATGTGGGGGAAGAAATAAGTAACACGTAACCAAAAAAACCAATCTTGGCTTTTTATGAGACAAAAGTGTTGTGGTACAAGTATTTTAATTATTTGAGTTTAGAATTGCATCTTGATTTGGCTTTTAACTTTTGTTAACATGTTACAAGCGTATGTATTATGGACCCCACATTCATGTTGTGTAAGAAATGGTCCAATTCAGTAGTCATATCAATACTTTATAATATCTTTAAACAAAATTCTTATAAATAATATTTCTCAGAAATATAAATATCATGGGTGTTTAGACCAATCTGCATACACCTTAATTAATCACACAGACTTTAGAGAATATATAGAAAAATCCCGAGTGTGCTTGCAGGATTCAAACCGATGATTTATGAGTTGGATTTTAAGTCTTATTGTCAATTGAGCTAAATTTGTTTTTTTTGTTTGTTGTTGTATAGCATGTCTATCAACGGGTTCGAACTCATGATCCCTCTTGGATTCTTTGCTGGAACAGGGTACGATTTTAATTTACACTTGCTTACGTTATTTTCTAACTATGCCATGATTCGCATGATCAAAGTGAATATTTTCGACCTTGAAAACATGCTTCAATGTTTTCTTTTTTGGAGATTGTTTCTTAACGAAAACGATCTTGTATGATTTTTATCAGAGTTAGGGTTGCAAACGAGTTAGGAGCAGGCAACGGGAAAGCTGCAAGATTCGCTACCATAGTTTCAGTTACCACATCTTCGGTCATAGGCCTTTTCTTCTGGCTCTTGATCATGTTATTCCACAACGAGCTAGCGTTGATCTTCACCAACAGTGAACCCGTCTTGGATGCCGTTAGCAGGCTTGCACTTCTTTTGGCCTTCACAATTCTTCTAAACAGCGTTCAACCTGTTCTTTCAGGTAAACAAACCCCTTCTTGTTTTATATCTATTTCTCGCTTTTCAAAATTTCACGATCACTAATACATAAACGGTTTAATTTATTAGGCGTTGCGGTCGGTTCTGGATGGCAATCATACGTGGCATATATCAACTTAGGTTGTTACTATTTGATAGGAGTCCCAATGGGACTTGCCATGGGCTGGCTTTTTCATCTTGGGGTCATGGTATTTATTCTTAAATTTCGTATCGTTTTTTTATTTATAATTTCTTGTGGTATAGGCAACGTCTTATATTTTTATCGGTTAAACTTACAAGGGTATCTGGGCCGGAATGATCTTCGGAGGAACCGCATTCCAAACGGTGGTACTTGCTATCATTACAAGCCGTTGCGATTGGGAAAAAGAGGTGAGCTACTGACTATTTTTCTGATTTTTACATCAGCATAACTGTTGGAGCAAACTTTTGCCCGATCTCTGATTTTTTTAAAACTGATATAGCTGCTGGAGATGCTATTAATGACGATAAATCGTATTAATTACGCATTAAGATCAGCTGAACCTGAAAGAACCCATTTTAGTAATGACCTAATTTTGTGTTGAAATCTGGCAGGCCCAAAGAGCAAGTAGCCATGTAAAGAAATGGGCAGTGCTGCATTGATTGAGACACAGCTTATTCTATCTCCATCCATCTCACCAAGAATCTGGTACTAATGGCTTTCATCAGGCCATTTCCTTTTTGTTATGTTTCCTAATTATTTAATTTTACTTTTGGTATTAATTAATTAATTAAGAAAAGAAAACGTAGATCTACTCGGTGAACGGTATGATTCAAATGTAACCATCAAAAAATTCGAACGGTTAGCCATCGGTATTCGATTCAGCTTATGCGCACCGACGAATTCCTCGGACGGCTATGAATAACTTAGACTCATTGTGGATGAACCTACATGGTCATAAAGATTCTGGTGGCATTTGGATTTGAACCCGAAGAAAATGAGATTTCCACTGTGTTGGGTGTCAAGTGTTTTTACAGTTTTCTTTTATTGGTTTGTATGTGCAAGAAACAGTTTGATTTATAAAAGACGAGGTAAATTTGGTCAAGTAAAATCAACGCAAATAATCTGGGTATCGGAAGGAAGAAAATGCGGAAGTCGATCTCGATATTAATTACGTCATCGATGACACGAAATCGTATGTATTAAAAGAACACGGAAACCTGATATCTAAAACTGATTTAGTATAACTTATGAATATATTATGAATCAAACTAAATCAATAAATTAAAATCTAACCTACCGCTATTAGTAAAAAGGTTTTTAAGATTGTTCACAATGTGTTCACCTTCTATGCACATTTAGGTATTATTATTTGACAAATCTAGCTTATAAACTATCTTAAATTAACGTTTTTAATAGCTTATCAACACTTTTTCTAATTATACACTCATTAATATTTAATATTAATTAATGATAGTCATTAATTAA